CTTTTCTGCCTTTTCACGTAAGGGTGGGCTGCTGGTCATGGCACATCAGAAGCTGTAAGCTCCCAGGAACTGTAGCCTGCAATGTCCTTTAAAGTACTGACGCCAAGACAAGAAAAAGAATCTTGGTCTTCTTTTATCTCTGCTTTCCAGGCAATGGTCAAGTGTTTCTACATTCCTAGTGATCATCCTTTACTGTCTGATGTGACCAGCACTAGAAATCGAGGTATTGCAGCACCCAGCTGGCGGGTGCCCAGGCTTTTCACTGGACCTTTCTCTACCTATCTAGATGTTCAGCAGTGGTCACATCTAGAACAGCAAATTAAATGCTGGATATAGAGAAATTTTATATGCCAGCTAAGAGAGGGTTGTGATAATGTAATTTTTAGACATAAGTGCGTCTAAGCCTTTCAGATGGTTAGCCCTACCTTCTTTTAGCACTGAAGTCAGAGAGAGTGTTCAGCATTTCTGTCAAAGACCAAACACTATGAGACCTGGGCAGTCAGACCTAAAATAAGTCAGGTAAAACATTTTTTTCATGAACACTGTTTGCAAAACTAGTAGAGAAATTTTATCAATGACCTTTTAGACCTACTTCTGCTTTCAATATTAAACACATCCATTTTGTATTTGCATTTATAGGTTTCCTTTTCTTCTCATATATTTGAGTTTGAGATAATTGTTCTAATCAAAAATATGTAAAAGCTAACAAATGCAACAGAAACGTTTTCTCTTTTGAAATCATGGATAATTACCTCCAGTATCCATTACTTAGATGCCTCATGATATATTTTAATTTCACTTCTCTGATATTTTTCTCTTCCTGTAAATGCAAATCTCACAAATTGGTTGAATTCTATAGTATTTTACCTGAATACATGACATTAGCCATAAAAAGCACTAACTTATTGTACTACTTTGGGGGAAAAAAAAACCAACACCCAACCAGACACTTTCTCCATTACATGCTAAGGCTGCAATGCTTTAATAGCAGAATGACAAACAAGAATTTTTGCTAAATATTCTCCTCTGTGGGTAACAGCTCCCCATTTCATTCTAAAACTTGTAAAGTATTATTTAGAAAACTACAGAAGAAAAAACAATTAAAAATTAGATCACCATACAGAAACTTCTTATTAATTAAAAGTAGTAGTTAAACTCAGAGAGAAGACTGGGTATCAAAGGAAAATATTAAAAAGAAAAATTATAAAATGTCAATGGTGTCTCCTTTCTAAGAATACAGATGTCTCAAGGTACAAAAGCACACACATCAGAAAAAATGAGGGGAAGGCTCATAAGTAATCTGTCATCCTACAGGTCAAATATCACTTAAATATTACACATTATAAATTGAATATCTCATAAAATGAAGGTATACTACTGTACAGATTATATACTGTCTATGTGCTACTTCTTAGTAGAGAAACTTTCAAACCAATTAACTTACACATTGTTTCATGGACTTCTTTCCCTCACCTCTTTATAAGGTTTGTGTTGTCCTTATGGCATGACTTCAGCACAGGCCTTCCTAAACTCACTAATGAATGAAGATATCCATCCAAACAGCTCCTGAGAGTCTAGGTCTTGTGGTTCCCCAAACTTTACCTGTAAATTTGAAAGAGAAGAATATTTAACATTAGTATATCCACGTAATCTAAACCATGTCCAGGATCTTAATGAAATTAAAAGAGCAAGAGAAAAGTTAAATAAGTTCATTATTATTATTAATTAGAAAACTTAGAGCTGGCTAAAATCTCCAGCAAGCTGAGATCCAAAACATCCCAAGTAAAAATAGCCCCAGGAGTTGTCATTGAATTACATCAGGACCTGGACTTCTGTATAACCCAGTCTCTCTGGGAGAGGAGAAAAATCAGTAAATTACGAACCTTCCTTCATGCAGTTTGTTAGATGAACCCATTCATAAAAGAAAATGCATACATTTGGGAAATGGTTTATATTTCACAGTGGACAAGGTAGCAGCATATTCATGCCAAAATTTTTTCCTTTTCTATCATTTTGCTTGGCAAACAAACAAAAATATTCATAGAGAAGCAGACACTTTTGAGAGAAAAAGTAATTTATCAAAGAGTCACCTTTCCCTGTTCTCTTCCTTCCTCCCCCTGAAAAAGGTGAACAGATGGAAAGTTTTTGAAAAAGGAATGAACAATGTTGGCATCGTGTCTGCTCTGCTATAAAACAAGAGGTGAAAGGTAGTCATACTGCAGAGTTCAGTACCAGGAGAGGGATCCCTGCATTAACTAAAATCACTTCCACATAGGTTCTTCAGTTCTAGGATAGGAAAGGATTTTTGATATTTAATCTGTTGCTAAGGTTTAATTCAAGAGGTTTTTCATATTTTTCAAAGATTCCTCTTTAACAGGATCAATGAGTTAAAGAACATAACTCTGCCTGCAATGGCTTTCTAACTGAGCTGAACAAATCTAGAGAACGTGCTCCAAAGGCTCCATCAAAAAGTTTAAAAAGGCATCTTGTGTTGCTACAAGTCCTTATCTTGGCTGTAATGGAGAGCTGCTCTGTAACTGAGGGATACAGCTGTCCCAAGGTGAACAGCAATGCAGTTGTATTTCAGTATTCCAGGTTGCAACTGGAATATACAGAAAGGTTTGGACAGGTATCTGTCATTATCTAAACATGTTCACCTGGACATCATCTAACATGTTCTTAAGAGCAAACCCTCTGCCTGGAAATCAGAAACACAATAAAAGAAATTATTCACATATAATGAAGTCACCAAAACTTTAGCATTAACCAGTGACACCTGATTAATAGTTTTGTCTGTTGTGTTCCTAATTGCACCCCCTGGGTGCTCCAAGCCCTTGATCTTTGGCACACCTCTCCACTCACCCATGGTGTACCATCAGCTAAACAGTAATGAGAGAGGCATTTCCTGGAGCTAATGACCATCTGTGAGAAGTTGATAGCCCACAGCTATACCACAGGCAGCTATCCCCAATTTATTGTTCATTCCATAGAAGTGTCATATGCCAAGGTCATTATTGATTCTATAAGCAGAATATAAAATCATAAAGTTAGGCCTGTGAATTTTTCTTTTATGTGCAACATGATTTCAGTGGCAACGTACAACACATTTCCAGATCAGATATTCCCCCAGGTAAGCTGGACTATTCCTTCCAAGTGCTGTTGAGACAATAGCCTGGTCTTTGATCACCCATCCTATTTTATATTTGCTTTACATTTTTGCTGCTTTATAAATATACAAAAAGATCAAGTAACATTATTCAGGAAAAAAAAAAAATCCATTCTAAGTGGGAAAAAAATATCTAGTGCCTAACTTTAGAGAAAAAGGGAGAAGGGGTGTGGGGGAAAAAAGCAGCTGGTTTAAAACTTGAGGAAACTTCCAGCTACATTGAAAATGAAATCCTTTTCAGATGTAAATGAAAGTCTCAGATGAGAGTTTCCAATACAAGAAAGGAATGCAAAGAGCCTTACGCATGATGCTGGGCTACAGATATATATGTGCAATGTCTCCTGGCTGAATGTGCACAGCTGGAGAGAAATGATGTCCATGCAGGGGGCCTAGGACAGAGTACACACACGTGGGAGAGCACATCCAGCACCCACTGTGCATCACACAGCTCTGCAAGCAGGACTGGCCACACGACATAACTCCTTCTGAAGATGACTTTTAGGTAAAACGGGTCAAATTCCTCCACACCCAATGCAAGAAGGATTCCCCTCAAATGTTTTACAGCACAAATCTCCCCACTTTTAAATCTGATGAATACTTTTCAACCATTTGCACTCATGTAAATCAACTATTAATTCTCATTTACACCATTTCTGCACCTTTTTTCTTCTTGCTTTATCCCAGTCACACAGAATCACAGAATGTCAGGGATTGGAAGGGACCTCGAAAGATCACCTAGTCCAATCCCCTGCTGGAGCAGGAACCTAAATGAGATCACACAGGAAGGTGTCCAGGCGGGTTTTGAATGTCTCCAGAGAAGGAAACTCCACAACCTCCCTGGGCAGCCTGTTCCAGTGCTCCTTCAGCCTTTATTGAAACCTTGGGACAGAGTTGTTTGTCTGGGATAGTTAATTTGGCTGCAAACCAAAAGGATGAAATCACCTCAGTAAGGCTGTAAGAGACACAAAGAAACCCTTGCACATTGTTCAATATTACTTCTAGTAAAACATTACTAATTATATTTCATTGGTCAAACATCTTGCTAATCTTCAGTATCTATTCAGATAGGTCCCCAAAGGTTTTCCTGGTTGCATCTCTGTGTTACATTTGCCTGTCATAAAGCTTCTCTATTTCTAATCCCTTCTCCTAATAAAAAATAAATAATATCAACAACAAACACCACCACCACTTAAAAGTTGGACCATAATCCCAGGACCAGGAAGTTATTCCAGTTTCAGAGATGAGCACTGCATTTCAACAAATCTGCCACTTTCCTTAAAACCTCCTAGTGTGACTATTCTGCCAGAGAACACTGTTACCATAGCAGAGACCTCCTGAATTTCTATTACACTCCAAGAACATTGTACTAAACAAGGAATCTACATACTATGTTGTTAAAAATTGCAGCATGGAGCTTTATCATTCCTTCTGGTGTGACCCTCTGACCCAAAAAACATTTTCTAGTGTATTGAAGCTGTTCAGAGGAAAAAAATGATTGAGAAAATCAGGTTCTTCTCAGGTGCAAGAGTGGGTGAATATAATAGGAACAAACAAGAACAGACAGCTTCTTTATCAGAAATCTTATGCCTATGGAGCTTCCTTTCTGCTCTGCTCATTTTTTAGATCTCTGCTACTACTAACATCTCTATCCTTGTCTCTCACATTCGAATAGTGGTAGCTAAATCAATGCCCTGGACTATAAGTTTGTCGCTAGAAAAAACCCTCAGCCCAATTAAGGGAAGATTTGAAGTGACACGGTTGCTGGTAGGCACCAGAAAAGCATGTTGTTTTTCTTAACATGTTTTCTGTAGCATGTTGAAAATATTCAACAGTTAAACTCATTAAATTTATAAAGTTGGTGAACAATTACTTTTCTTTTTGATACTTGGACTGTAGACCTTCTAAAAAGTGGGCTGTAAATCCTGAAGAAAAATAAATGCCAGATTTCCAGTCAAAATATTCCACTGCTGTTAGATGGGTTTTGGGGTTGGTTTTTTTTTTTTTTCAGTTTCTTTGGACAGTATAACTATAAAGCATGTAGAATTACGAGAACTTCTTGCACTTTTTTTTTTTTTTAAAGATATGTAGATTTCTTTTCATTGCATTTTAGTATGATATGTACCAGTATGTTGCTATAAAGCTTCTTCATTTCATCACATCTTTTTGACAGCTGGGATAGCTCCCCTTCATATTTCTGAATTAAATCCTGTAATAAAATAAAACTTCTTAATTTGGTATAGAAGCATAATATTAAAGCAGAAATTAAACAGCAGTGAAAACAAGATAATTCAAGTCAAAATTTTCATGTCACAAAAATTTCACATTTCACAAAAGATAAGCATACATCAAGAGCACACATTTCCTTGCAAGTATTAAGACATCAAAGACAAAAAAAAAAAATCAATGTTTGAGAATTTTTTACTGTATCATTCAATGACACTACCTAAATCTATCAAAATTGACAGAACTAGATAAGCATCACAAAGTCCTAATTTCCACTCACATCTGGCATAGCCTAGTTGCTAGTTCTTAAGGAAACAGGGCCTTAGAAAATTAACATTTGAAACAAAATTTCTTAATCACAATTCCTTTGTAACGTATACATTCTTATATATGTATATACATATACAAGACAACTAAATAAGTATTGAAGAAGCACATCGCTGAGTTGTTCCAAGGGAGAAGAAAACGTATGGGTTTAGCAGATGCCAACACTACACAGTGAAGCAAAGCACGAGGATATCCAGGACACAGATGAACATGTCCACACCATGGCAGTGGAGAATGCCCTCACTGGAAGTAGCCCCGTTCATAACTAACACAACAGTGCTCTTGAGAGCTAATTAAGTTCTTTGCCTGTGAGCTAATAAGCCTTATGTTTGGCTCTGCTGACTCCTGGCCAGAACTGAGCTCCTTCCAGCCCACTCAGCCACCTCTCCATTGTGACCTCCAGCCCATCTCCTCCTGCCACTAGCATGGGCAGAATCAGCTCAGATCAACCCATCCTCACAACGTAGGTTGATGTTCCTCTATGCTCTTTTCCCTTCTGTTTGAGGGCAGAGGAAGTTATTACAAATTCATATATGCTCTAAAATAGCTACTATTCCAAAGTGCTTATCATGGGCAATAGTGGGGCTACCTGCTCCTCATCCACTCCAGCCCGTTTGCCTGTAAAGCAAAAGCAGGAGATGCAGAAACTCTGAAAAGCCTTTCCTGTGCTGCAGCTTATGGTATAAGACATTATCAGAGGGGAATAAAAGGCCACTTTCCCTCAAATGTTCCTGACCCCCTTGTCAGGGAAGGACTCAGCACAAACTAAGATTACTCATCTTTTACCTCCAGCCCACAATACGTCTGTGATAATGTTACCTTCAGTTCCTTGCAGAACTGTGACTCCAGAGGTGTTGCCTTGATTGTCTTGGGTTTAATAAGCCGCCTGCACTGAACAACATTTTCCAATTCTTTTTTTAAAACTAACAAAAGAGAAAGAAAATGAAAAATTTCACTAGCATACAGTTTTGTCCAAAGGGCTGCAAATGTCTAATTTGGGACATGTGGAAAATTTAGGAGAATATGGGTCTCTAATATGTTCATCTAGGAATATTAACTTTCTGTGAAACAGAAATCCTAAAAGAGGCATAGGTCTTATGGAAAAAAGTAGCATGTGATCACTTCACAAGGAACTGCAGAATAATGAAGAGGTTGATAGTATGGTTATGCAGCAGCCATAAATTTGACCTTTTCTAGCTCTGAGCATTGGGATTAGCAATGAAAATAACATTTTTCAAACCTACATTCTTGTGCAGAAAGTTCAGGGTTCCTTTAAAGATGAAATAACAAAAATTCTACTCTATGTAACAGTAAAAAATGTTTTCAGTTGGCACTCAGCACTACATTGGACTGCTATCGTGGGAGCTCTGAGGGTGTGAAATGGGGGAGAGAAGAGAAGATACAGCCTTGTCTCCAGGGGCTCAGTCCTGAACTGACCCATGCTGCAGTCTAACATCTTCCTTCCCTTGTGCTCATGCCATACTTGCAGCAGATGAGCCCCAGAATGTGCCTTGAATTAAATGGTGAGAAAGTCTGGTTCCCTGGCATTTGTCCACCCCTTTCCCTCTCTGCCCTAGAGAAGATAAAAGTGACTACACTGGACCTATCAGGAATCCATGGAGGGAAGAGGCCAGTCAATCTCCTCCATTTCCCATGATTCACCTCCTTCAACAGCTCCCAACAGTTTTTGGTACAGTGTCCATTGTACCACTTTCCCCATGACTTTCCAAATCTGTCTTTACAATACTTGGTGATTTTGAATTGCTACCAACATCACCACTGAAGAACACAAGTGACTGAAGGTAAATAGTGTTACTTTTAGTTACTTATGTTTCCTAAAAAGTTGATTGGAATTTCTTGGAACAGAATAAAAACACACCTTAGTAGACTCAAGCTACATGCCTGGCTGATTCCCAAAGCCCAGCAGAATAGACGCAAGGGCTTTTCAAATTGAAATCTGAGAGTAACTGTCATTCAGTTATGTTATCAAAGGCTGGAACAGGATATATTGGTCTGTAGTTACAGTCAACACCCATGCCACATTTTCAATAGATAGATTTTTACTTTATAAACTTTTAACACAATACAAGTCTTTCTCACCCACTCACACACCTTCCTTAGCAGCTCTCAAAAGATTCAATCTAAAATCAATTGAATTCACTGGTCACTTTGTGATACTGTTCAATAGTAAGTTGTAAATATCTCTCAAATTCTACCTTACATTTGAACAACCTTATTATGTTCCCTCATGTCAACTTCACTAGTGTTGGACTCCATTCTAGAGAAGGAGACCAGTTTGGTTCAAAGAAGTTCTTGAACTTCAGGACTGAACTGTAGGGAGTTTTCTCCTGCTGTATTGTCTGCTCCTGGAGGCTGCCATCACCATAACTTTGATGGAGGACTTATATTGCTTAACATTAGTCATTTATGATAAATTCTATTTACCATGGGCAGTGTATTTTTTATATTTCTAAACCACCTGGACATGCTTTAATTAATTTATTCATTAATTCTTAATTCTTCACATTAACATGGCAGGTTAAGTATCACCATAGCACCACTTTACATCAATGTTTTGAACCTTTACCTCTGTTTACAAACTACAGAAGTGCAATTAAAACTTGTTCCAAATGACTGCACAACATATGAAATTATTTTTCTGAATCTAGAAACCATATCTACGTACCATCAACTTCAGCACTGAGGCCCTTCATGGAAGCTGGAAAGGAAGAGAGAGGGAAAAACATGCTAATAAGTATTATTAATATTGTGAGGATGGGAGCTTCCACAGAAGTTGTAGGACTTTGTTTTTCATTTGTTGATCTTTTTTTTTCCCCCCCTCCCTCCTCTTACCATCAGGAACAGCTTCAAATTCTGTCAACTCCTGAGAAAATTTGGCCAGATCAGGCTCATGTAAGAAGATCTGTTCCACAAGGGCGTGAAGCAAGGTGAATGTCCTCTCCTTACCCCGCAAGAGTTGTAACTGCAAATAGAACAGAGCAATAATTGACAGACTGAGCTATCATACTTAAAAAAAAAAAAAAAAAAAAGGAACAGCAGGGATGTTGATAGCTCCCAGGTAAATTTGACAAGAATAGAAAACACAATGAAATTAAACTTCTCCTTTTCAATCTGCCATTACATAGACATGCTTGATTAAGATGAGCTTTACATTTTCATATCCCTTGACCTTCCTTGTTCTTTTGTGTCTTCTTATTCACATGGGTCTTTTTTAACTAAAGGTATCCTATTTGATTGCAGCTGATTTTGGACCTCCAAACACAGTCATTATTCCTTTCCACTTAAAAGCAGTGCACTGTGTTCACGAAGATAGTAAAGTTCTTTAATTGAATCTAGGAAGATGCTCTGTGGCAGAAAATGATTTTGTAGACATTTTTCATTATGATAGATGTGGTATTACAGCCATTATATATATATATATATAAAAGAATGCAAGTTGTGTCTCAGAATTGTCACTAGAGTTATAAATCACTCACTCATATATTAAAGTCTCCAGATGGGAAAGATACTTTACAAAAACAAAATAAAAATCCTCTCCTCTATTTACAGATCAGGCATAATCTAACAATAGTGTTAAAGGTACAAGGCAGCTTAGGAAATTTGTATCTGATTCTTACTTTTTAGGATATGATGCTCTGCCACTAGTGGGTGGAGATAAAAAAACCCTGTGCTCAATAGCAGCATTTTCTGATGGCAAATTCTGATGAAGAGGGGAAAGTAGTTTCCTTAAAACTAATGGAAAACTCAGCTTAATGTCACACAAGGGATAGGTCAGTGAAGAGACAATTAGAGAACTCCGAGCTAGATGATGCTTCTTGTACAGCAGATCTCTGTTAGGAAAGAGTAAAGATCACAACCGCCACCTTCATCCCCCATTCAATCACCCAGCAGAGGAATGATGAGCGTTTTAAACCCTGTCAGAAAACAAATTTCACTCTCTTTGAATTTATTAATTTATTTACCTTCTACTTTTCAAACTTTACCTTAAAATGGAGTTGTACCACTTGTTGCAAAAGACTTTTGCATTAGAGTAAAATGAAGTGCTAAGAAATTACTCCAGAGCCCTAAAAGTGCAACTACCATGGAAGAAACGCTGTAGTTACAACCTCTGACCACAGCGAAATGAGAAGGGTCCATACAACAGTGCTCTGCACAAAACTGCAGAACACAATTTATCTAAACTTGCATCTAACCAGGGGCCTGCAGCTCAGATGCCTCTTCTAGCACAGAGATATTCATATTAGGGCAGTCAGTATTTTGGTGTTCTACCTCATTAGAAACACAGTGTGTCCAACACCACAATGCCCCATCTAGCCAGTGCTGCTGTCTAAAATGGGGAAACACATCTTGTTATAACACACATTAAAGCACACATTGTTAAACAGGAGTTTGTTTCTAGTGTAACCAAGAGCAGATGTTAAAATGTTAGCTACTCATTAAAAATGATTGCCTTTCCCCACATTCCAGCCAGAACTGACTTAATATTAATATCTAACATACTTTATAATATGATGATTTTAATGACAAGAAAAATATTTACTCACTTTGGTCAAAGACGACAATCGAAATCCTTTAGCCTTCTCTTTTCCAGCCTTTTCATTTAAATGGTTCCCAATGGCTAAAATGTACTCCAAGACAGCAAGAAATTTCTGGCTGGATTGCAACTGCTTACTCGCTTGGATTTTCTGGTTTATTAGCTGAAACACACAAATCTTCCTTCAGTTCAAACTGAAAGTATGAGTCAATCAATGGTGCCTATACCTTCCCTTTGCCAAAAGCATCATTGTCCACACCTGAAGCAAGTCACACTTTACCTGGTGGAAACCTTTGTATTCAACTTCGTTGGGGGAACGGGACAGGGGTTTTCAGGAAGGACCAGTTAAAAGTCTCCCACCAAGACAAAGCTGGTGTTGGCACAGTTACCCTGTTCCCAATGGAGGTCACATCCTTTCTGGCTGCCAAACCAGCCCTGCCGAAATGACTTCAACCTTATCTCTTAAAAATGCTTCTGAAGAAAAAGGGTTTTGCTGTTTGAATGCACCAGATTGCACCAAATGTCAGGCATCAGGGGGAAGCAGATAGCCTGAAGCACAGTATAAGGTTCTTCATCCTTCACCTCCCTCCCTTCTGTTTATACAAGCTGAACACTCTTATCTTATCAAAATTCAAGCACAGTTTCCCCCTAAGGAAGAATAATAATTTCCTGTAATCAAACTCAGTATCAATTTCTGTTTTCCCAGGGAAGCCACCTCCCTTCTAGGGCTATAGGCACAAGAGATGGTTTTGTTTTAAATTAGGAAATGTATATTTTTTTAGCACCACACCTCTCTTCTCACACACAAATTTAAAAACAGAGAAAGGATGAAACATGTAGGAGAGCTGAAAGACATTAGTAAAACATTTATAGGCACATCACAGGGCCAGAGGGTGCTGAAGCCCAATATTCAGACTGCCCCATAGAATTTTAGGTGTATAATCAATGGCTTACAAACACATGTTAGTATGCATAAGTAAGAAAATACTTAGACAACTAATCAGCTCTTCGATGAACATTAAATATCCTTCAAAGCAAACTGTATATATGATAGCTTCCAAATATTCAAATAATTCAGTGGAGGACAGCAAAGGTGAGGCATTGTACCAGACAGGGTCAGAAATCTGTGCACCTCCCCAGTGTTTTCCATCTGTTCCTCTCTGAGTTTTGTTCCCCGTTACTATGGTTTTAATCACAGCCAGATAAAGGATAACAACTCAGATTTGCAGAACTTTCAAATTTTGTTTTCATTGCCATGCAGAACGCGAGCAAAACCTTTGAAACATTTTCATGGAAACAGAATCGTGGTGAAACATTTTGTTTGGAATCAAAGCATGTACAAAACCTGGCAGGTAAGGCAGTGGTTTGGAACAGGAAGATCCAGTCCATGTGACTGGAACACTGTTTATTTGCATTCTCCCCACCCCTAGGTCATCCTGAAAAAGGCAGAGAGGCACTTGAACTCTGATTTGCAACATTTCAATTCAATGCTGTAATCCTTAGGGTGAACAACCTCCTTCAGTCTTCTGAAAACAGTAAATGTCTATGAGATGTTGGTCGAATAAACTTGCTGAGTATCTATGACTTTAGATTGATTCTTTCAGTTCGTGGGGCAAGAACCTCTCCACAAAAGGAACTGAATTTTAATGATGAAATTCATTTCTGTCTTATCACTGGCCAGAGAAAGTGGAAAGTTTAACAACCCCAAATAAAAATTTGAAAATCTTTTCCTGTTCTTTTCTCCCTCCTTTGTGGAAGTCTGTTCCATTGCCAGACCCATCAGCAACTGCTTCTTGAACCTTAGTGGAATAAGAATGATATTAAATGCACATATATGTATATACAAGTATATCACAGCCCTCATTTGTCTCCGTTTCTTTTTTTACTGTTTTATTTTGAACCAGTACTGTGGAATACAAGCACATTAGCAAAACACAATAAAATTAACTGCATGCCTAAAATTATTCCAAATGCACCAGCCGATAGCGCAACTGTATTTCAAATGTAGCCTGTCTCTAACTGTTTCATGCCATTTAAAATTCTTTAGCTATCAAAACCATGACCTATACAGATTTTTTTATTATTATATTTTCAACCTTTTTGCTTGTTACTTTTGAACAATGCCATGAAATGTTTTGTTGGGTTTTTTTTTATACTAGGCTGCCTGGATTATTAGATTCTGAATTGCTCACATTATGGACGGTGAGATGTTTCATTACTGGAAAAAAAAAAAAAAAAAAAAAAATAAAAAAAAATCCTGAACTACACAGCTCTGAAATCTGCATTAAGACCACTTGGCCTTCTACTATCTAGATTTTGATTACAAACACACTCTGAAGGTGTCTTGTTACTTACAGGCTCCAAATCTCTCATGCTCACAGGGAGCTCACGTATGGTAAGCAGGAGATCCAGCCTCTGGCCTAAGTGGGGGATTTTACACATCTGCATAAAATTGAACAGAAAAGGAATCAAAACCCATGTTTATATCAAAACATGCACATATATCTTTCTTAATGTAGTAATTCAGCTGCACCATAGTTTTCCTAATTTCTGTGCTCATTTATTAATTTTATGCTAGTCCCTAAGTCTGTAGATATACTATGGCAAATATAAAAATCACACACCTGAATAGGCAACATTTGCATATGCAAATTCAAGAAAACAGTGTATGCTAGTAGGGCCAGACACTACTAAAAATCAATTACACTAATTTCTTGTGAACAAGAATAGTTAAATGCATACAATTTTACACTGATAGATTTTGGAAATCTAGCTCAGAATAAATCAGTTCCTACTTTGGAGGAAGGGGAGGGCATGGGAGATGGAGACACAAAGGAATCCATACAGTTCTCTTCATAGTATCTACCTGTCTCAACTCTTCAGCAGATAAATCCTCTTACATTGATTCTGGCTGAGATTGTAAATTTAAGTTTCAAACAATAGCTTCTTGTAGTGATTTTATTTAGAAGAAATAGCAAGAAAATTATCTAGAAATAGTCTGTGATATGTTTTAATTCTGTGCCTTCTTACCTCTAACATAAACTGATCAACCACATGCAGCTCTGAAGGAGACCCCTTGAATGACTGGTACCTTTCTGCATCTTTTGGTGTTGGCATGTATCTGTAACACAGCAAATGAAAATTATATTGTTGTAACATAAAATAATCACTCTATTCCATGCATCAGAATTTCTTACTGTTTAGTGTCTTTCACATATTGCATATTTATTCTTTAACCACTGGAACTTTATAGACTTTTGAGGCAACTATGCGATAGAAAGCAAAAATACATCTGCATATCTGGAAATATATATACATAAGGCTTAAAAATAACTGTCAGTAGTGTTCACCTGCAGATCCACAGACAATTTGCAATGGCATGGGCTATTGTAAAACCATGAGACAAAGGAGTTAAAGCCACCATTTCCAAAGAGGTTCATTAATTCTGTGCTTGATACATATGTGCCTTGTTTTTGTTGATGAGATGAACCTTTCAAAAGCACCTAGAAACAACATACATTTTTTGAGCAGCTATATCCATGCTGACTCAGCTTGTCACCAGCAATAACTTACTCCAAAAATCAGCACAAAAGCAGAGCAGACTCATGCTATGGTGTGATTAACCAGTGGGTCCCACGGTCTAACTGACTCCTACCTCTAAAACTTTTTTTAATTGTCCATGAAACCAGAGTGGGCAATGACATTTCTGTCTTTCTAAGCACCACATCATATCAGAGATCCATTTCTCATTTTTTGCTGTGATAGCACATGACACAAACCTGCAACTTTCTTCCTTCTGCATAAGGCAACAGAATATTCTCCCAGAGTACTCCAGAGCTGCAGATTTTTAGAAAAGTGCTGTCTTTAAATATGCCTCCACTTGAAAAAATAAACTCACACCACCAGAGTTCCCTCCTTTGGAGATCTGCCTGCCTGTCTGACTCATACACTATGGGAATTCGTAGCGTATCTTAAAGAAGAAAAATGAAATCGATTTTATAACTAACATATGAGAAGGAGTGTTAAGAATCTTAAATAAGTATTGAGATCTGCCATCTTCTCTTCTTTCTTTGCAAGCAACCTACTAAATTTGTATTGACTGTGATTAAACATTCACAGGCATTGGTATAAATTTTTATTAAAAGTAAGGAAATTTATTTAAAGAGGGAAAAAAATAAAGCAAAGATTTTAACATGTTAAATACAGGACAAATATAAGGGGTTTTTTTTCTGTTATCAATAATTTAATATGACACTTCAATTGAATAATTGCTGGGTTCTGAATTATCAAATCTATATTAAAGCAGATTACAAAATATTCCATTTATCATTCTTCATCCTCAAGAACAAAAATGAATTTTCATTTAAAAATAACTGTTATCTGTTGTCAAATTAAAAGTATTTTATTTATCAATAAAAATAGTTTCACTTTTTAAGTAAATTCAAATAACTTTTTTTAAAAGCTGTCAGCAAATATCTTCATTTAATCAGAAGTTTGATATCTTATCAAATTGTTTTAATGTATTATGTATATGAAATGAAACTAGCAGATTATCTAGAAGGTTTAAAGCTTAAAGCATTAAACAATGGAAGCCATGGAAAAGGAAGCACAAGAATATGTGAATGCATTCCATAAATATCTTTTTACATGAATGCAACTCTAATGGAATTTGTGTGATGAAAAATCTCCAACTGTTCTGAAAAATTAACTTTATAGAGACAAATAGTGTTTTGCTATTTGATTTTTGATTTTAAGACATCAGGTTCATTCAAAGGACTATGGAAAGGTTTCTGTATCAAAACAAGTCCTGAAGTTTCTAATAATATTCCACCACCTCCATTAACCGTCACTGGGTACATGAGCAGAACATTTCGCTCCCTAGTCACAGTCTTGAAAATTCAATCTTAGTTTGGGCTTTAAATATTTTTCGTTTTACAATAGTAGAATTCAGACTTCCTACTCAGACTTAGACAATACGACAGGTATAACTTGCACAGAGAGGAATTTTCCAGCCTCTGACTATCCTGTTTAAACTCCTGTCATAACCACAGGTTGTCAATTAATTGGATGCCACAGTTTTCATCAGTAAAGTTTTCCACCATAGCACATAAATGGAGTGGAAGGGTCTTCAAAATTGCAAAGTGTCCTGCTACTTGTATCACACCAACTCTACTACAGTGCATCATACAAGAGAGACTTCTGAGTGCTGATGTTTCCAGGCAAGTGTCTGCTCCTTCAACGAGATGTTTGAATGGGAGCTGTAAGACACCGAACTGCCTTGGAAATCCAACTCTCAGTGCTGAAATGCATCACATCTATTTCAGTAACATTTTTTAAAATGCTGGGGTGGGAAACATGCTTCCTTTCACTACAAGATTTGTACATGCATTCCTAGATTTTGGCAATAAATAAGAATCCCAGGAACAGAATTCTTGATCCTATATAACATATAGCAATGCAGCATCCAGTATCTCTTGCACGTTCCATTGCTAGAAAAATTTCCTCAGCGTTATTGCTATCAAAGGAAGACTCTGAAATCTTCGAGGAAAAAATAACATTTCAAGCTTCATTGCCATTATTATTATTATTTTTATTTTTATTATCTGATGGCAAAGAGCCCAGATGCTATAAATCAGTGATCTCAGTGGTGTTATACTAATTTCAGCAGCATAGAGATCCTGGACTAAATCTGCAATGCTCTATTAGGGCTTGAACAATGGTGAGCACTCCCAATAGCCAAGACATTTCACTGCAATTATCTCCTGCCCAATTCCACCACTGCAATTAGAAACTGCAGTACTGCAGTAAGATCTTTCTTTTTTTGAATGAAGCCTTTGATATCAGCTTTTGAAAGGCAACGGAGCTCCATTACCTTCAGTGGGGCTATACACCTTTTACCAGCTCAATCTGCTGTGGACCAGTGTGGGGAAAAATTGGTAAAGCATGGGGGCAGCATGGACACCTCCTCCAGAACACTGGTACATTTAAAACATTTAAATATTTGGTGTCTCATCCATATCCCTTTGTACTTCATACAAACAATCTTACCTAACGATATCAATTCATTATGTTACCTGTTTGCTCTTCCTGTTCACATCACTTTCTAAGTGCAGACATGATTCTGCAGACTTTAAAATTACTGTTGATGTACTGATTAGGATCAGGATATTAAGGCCAGAATTAAACTCATTCCACAAGAAGTAGATCCATTGGTAGCAAAATTTATTATTTACTTCCTCAGTTTCTTTGCCAGTATCATCTATTTCCAAGCTCTCTCTAGCAAAAAACCTCAAATGTTTTCTCATTTTGAAGCAAGAAACAATTTCACGTCAAATTTTCACATGAATGTGTCTAATGAAATGGTACAGGTATCACATGGGGACTGGGATGTATGACCAATACTACTTTAGGATCGCACTTCTTTCCTTTCTTTCTCTGTCTTAAACTATTCACAGAGATACAATCCAGTTCCTACAAATTCCACACACCAGTAGTTTGCTTACATTCCTGAAATCTATTTCTCTCAATATAGTAATTCAATAATATCAAAATTTGCATTCTGCTTTAAACCCACAAATCTCTGCTACCTAGAAATACTGCTATTCTTAGCATCCATGAAGTTCCTTTAACACTTGCCTGGCTTCCTCCTCTCCAAACCAGTTTTAAAGAGGGAACAAGATTCCTTCTGTTTCCTTCATTTCTGATGCCACAATAGATGGCAAGGGTGTAGTAAGAGGGGTTGTAAAGTTTTCTTATCAAGTTACACCTGCTCAGTGCCACAACTGATTCATTTACTAACTCTGCTCCTTGTAACCAGTTCACAAAATCGTGTCAGATTTGCTGTCATTTCTTGCAGTCCCCTTTCCTACACAACAAGGGGAAAAGTGATATGTTGGGTACATACTCTAAAATCTCAGTTGCAAGGACTGAGATTTCTGTGTGCAACCCAAATATTCTGTTCACAGTCAAGATAGATCCAATGTCTCAGCAGCATCTTTCCTGAATTTGCCATTATTTGCAGATTATGCCCTCTCCAGAAGATAGCATATATTATAAACAAAAAATCAAATCCCAACGATTACCTTCTTAGTGCTGTAATCTGCTCATCTGTAAGTCCACCACTCTCTTCATGTATAATGTAGAGTTTTTCTTTCAGCTCATTTGGTTTTATACGGAAACTTTTAAGAAAAATGTCTGGAGGAAAATGATTTCTTAGATTACTTGGAAGAAAATCTTCAAGGGAAGTAAAATTACCAAAATATTTAATATTTACTTTCCAGCTTTAAAAAAAGCAAGGAAAAAAAAAAAAAAACCACAACAAACCAGAAAACCCCCAAAACACTTGGTAGTCTTTAATGCTAAGGCAAAAATTCAGTCTTTGTATTTTTTTTTAAATATACATAGCAGTAGTCAAGAAAAATATATACTAAGGCAAAAATTCAGTCTTTGTATTTTTTTAAAATATACATAGTCAAGAAAAATATATTTCTGTCAGAGCATGGCCAATGCTTAAGACAGAACCATCAAGATACTGTTATTGGAAGGTACTCAAGTATTTGCTATTATACATTTCTCTTGTACCCAGCTCTACAGTCAAAATATTTTTTTTCCCAAATAAAAATAAAATGTATTGGCATATTATAGAATTTTGAAGGTTAAAGAAATTAAATTTTTGATTTGTTTTGATTTTGTTTACTTGCTTTGTTTAATTTCTAGGGTTCAATAGAAGGTAGTTAGAGTCCATGCAAGAAAAATTACTCCCAAAATGAAGGGAACTTGGGAAACAGAAATGCTCACTTCTTCCACACTGCCTGATATTCTAACACCTGATTAAGAGTTTTTGTAATGTTTAAGACTTCTGTGCTGACATGGGACTGGCTCATAATATGCATTATGATAAGAAATTTGAGACAAGACATCTCTTCCCCAAACAAGTGAAGAACCATTTGTAAGGCTGTTGCTCCCAAAAAGACTACTTTGGCATGGCAGTTATTCTTTAATTACTGTCTCCATCAATCGTTAACAAAGGATGAAGGTAAAAAAGGAAGCACAAGGAAGTGAACAGAGCACATCAGCAGAGAAAGTGAAAAGATTTAAATGCTTCTCAGTGTTGGCATGAAACTTGTCCTATAGTCTCTGCTATGACAGAACTCCTCTGAGCACAAGGCGATTGGGAAGGAGAATTCAGGAAGGTTGTGTATGATTTACCTATTTTTTTTTTTCCTCTCCAGTTCTAAAAAGGAGCAGAGTTTTTCAGGTTATAGGAACTTGCTGTGGCCCAAATCAGCTATTAATGGTTCTCAGAAGACTGTTGGCCAATGGAGTATATACCATTTATTCTTTCTCTGACACCCTTTCCACCCTTTTAATTTTGTTATATGATCTAGCTTTAGTGCTGAGCCTGGCAGAATCTTCCCTTTTTCCTTCTTATGGTTTCTATGGCTTACATCTTTCTCTTCCATACACCTTTTAAACCATGTATCTCTTCGGGTGGGGTGATGTCTGTGAACCATAACAGAGTGAATAACTCATAGTAAAATCTTGATTTTAAAATTTTCACAACCTGTCTACACTCTACATTTAATATTTTCTTGAACATTTTCAGTAGTTGAAATTAGCCACTGAATAAACTCTAGTCATCAGACTTTGCCAAAGTATTTTCCTAGGTAAAATAAGGATTGTATATATGGGAAACTGGGTCTCATACAGAGAAACAGGCACCCATCAAGTCACAAAAGCTGGTGTTTTAACTCATAAATCAGTTTTTCACACACTTTGATTGTATTTTCTCAAACATTGGTCTTGAATTTAGCATGTATGTCTTCTCTCAGAACTCCCATTTTTCTCTTATGTTCAAAAACTCACTCAAATTCCCAAGAAATTTTAACTTTCTGGTGTTCTGGAGCTTCATCTTTTTATCAGTTTAAGAACTGTGGTTTGCAGCACTTGCAGGAAGATTAATCAGAATTCTCAGGATTAAATTAACTTTAGATCTAAGTAATGTCCACTATAATAAGTATATGCCAAAAATCTCACTGATGGGACTTTAAGGATAAGATTAAGAAATGGATGTAGAACGTCTCAATGAAAAAAAGCTGTAAGAGGAGTAGGATCAAAAGGAAGAATGGTGTTATTTGTAAACCAAAAAGAAATAAATTTCTTCAGAGAAACAGTAATAATTTAGTAGACAAAAACACTATTACAGGATTCTTTTTATCTACAACAGTACTTTTGTGTCACTCACTTCCTTTTAACCCTCTAAATTGTTAGTCAATGGATGCACTAATTCCAACAAGTTGTCTTCATTTACAATTCCCAATTAAAACTGTACACGATCTCCAAACTATATTCTTTCTTTTCAATATTCATAAAGATTAAATAATTTAAATTTCAAAATTAACTGTCCCATATTTTTTACACATGTAACATTTCTTAAAATGTGGTAGGTTATGGAACTTTTTTGGAAAGCCATTTCTGTAATAGAAATCAGAGTAGTCTTTGAAGAACAATTACTCTTGCTCCTTTAATATCTACCACTTCTCATCAAAGTAACTGAAAGACCTTTACATCATTTTATTAGTAAGATCAGAACTATGTGTTGAAGTGCTTCATTAGCTGTGAAAGACTGTTCTAGGTCAGGCCCTTGGCAGAATCATACCTGGGATATGAGAGGGAAAGATCCTGTTCATGATCATTCAAGAGAGCCATTCACATACTAAGCGATTGGCCAGAGAAAGGCCAAGAGACTTCCTGTAAACTGGCTTGTAGCTCTCTCAAAGGTTTCTTACACCAACCCATCTATACCTACATGAATATTCTTGAACTCAGTGTAGAGAGAGACTGAGTACAGTACTCAAAGTGCTAGCTGCCAAGCTGTTTCTGTTGACTTCTTTCACCTGTCCAGCCCACAAAATTTGAAAAGTCAGAATCTTGACACTGATTTCACAGACATCACACATGATTTTACGTCTGCCCTAAGACAGTAGCATCACAGCTCAATGGCACAGCCACATGTTTTGTACAAGTGCTTCTACTCTGCAACATTAGGGACCCTATTTAGAGCAATTGAGCCATGAGGTCTATTTTTATAAATGAGTAGAGGGGCACTGAATTAAAAAGTAATTTAGACACAAGCTTGTCTCCTTTTCCCATTGAACAGCAGAAAGTACAACTAGAAAATGCATGCAGTGCTCGCCCCAGGCTTCCAGATAGGAGTACACAGTTCTTTTTAATACACTTACTGAAGTTATGTGCAACTTTTCGATCTAACATGATGTGCTGATTCACTGAAGGTTCATTGCTGGAAAATACTGCCATGTCCTGCATCTGAAACTGATCACAGAGTCTGGATACATCTATTTTTCTCTTGCATGGGTCACAAGATCCCCAGACAGATTTTTGAATCTAAAAATATAGGAGTGACAGGGTAAACAAAACGCTAAAAGAACAGAGTCACTTTGTTCCAAACATACAGAAGGGCATCCAGGTTGTTTTGTGGCACAATATACAGGCTATAATATGTTTTTTTCTTTAACAGCTACAATCACTTTCATCCTCACCTTATCGCAAGGAACAACATCCCAGTGAAAGGCTTTGGTTCTCTTTGTCGATGGAGAGAGGCTGCAGGGCTGCGGGAACACAGGTGGGGCTGGTGGTACCTCTGCCTTACTTATGGGAAGTGGAAGAGATGGTGATGCTGGGCCTGACTCCCCCTCTGCACGCTTTGTCTGGGGGCTCAAAGACTTGTTCAGACCAGTTGTTGCAGAACTCACACCAAAGTGGAAAGCTTCATCTTTCTGTTCATTCAGAGGTACAGTAAAATCCTCATAATCAGCTTCAGAGGAGGTGCATCCTTGAGATCCCTCCTGAGGCAGTGAGGCACCTTTGCACAGGGGACAGTACCTTTCTATGAGAGACACCCACTCATTCTGGAGCTTGCTAACATCCTCTGCTCTATTATTTTGGACAGTAAAGGGTATTCGAAACCTGAAATTTAAGAATGTCATATATAAACACAAGGAAGTGTAAATAACATGCTGACTAATACAGCCAGAAATATTTCTTATTTAAGCAGAATGATATTCAGCAGCTTTACTTGTCAAAGGAGCCTAGTGCTGCTGACTCTGACCTTTTCAGAGAGAGTTAATTGCTTACGTGTCTAAGGTTAGAGAGCTGAAGTTCTGCCATATATTGACTTTGTGGTGCAGTTACCTCATAATTCCTCTTCTCCACCTTGGGGGAAGGTGAACAGTGTGCTACATCTCACTGTGCTTGTTGCACAAGCTAGTCAGAACCTGTTCACACACCTGTCCTATCAAGCTGAATGATATATCTCTTCACTGTCTCCTAACATGACAACTAGGCAAGTCTTTGTGGGCAGTATTTCAATGTTTCTTCTCAATTTCACAGTGTGATACTTTTGATTCCTCCTTAAAACACTGTATTATATTATTATTAATTATTTATATAATTCTGATGGCCTCATTTCTCCACTGTTGTATTTTGTTCTGGGACATTGAGTTTTTCTGTTGCTTGACCTTGTTTTCAGCAGTTCTGTTTTAACAAATTATTAATTACCAACTATACTTACAAATAATTGTGTTCTTTGGTCTGGACTGAAAAGGTACTGCATCCATTCTCCTTGCTGACACTCACATTACCATCTGACAAATTAATTGTATTTGTTACAGGGTCTGCAGTCTGGTTCTTCCCTCCCAGACCTATGTAATATAAAGTCAATTCTCCTTCACGTAGTTGTACCAAGTACCTGAAGGACAAGGAATAGAAACTGTTCATTCTTCACTGACTATTTATTTGAACACACCTTGCCTTTGTTAAAGTATTTTCTAATGTCAATAAGACCCCACATTTTTATAGCATCTTCCAGCGAACAGTCAAAAAGTATCAATACAAAAGCATAAAACCTTTGAGATAGGGTTTCTTATTCTCATCTGACACATAAGTAAACTGTGACATAAAATGTGAACTTCTAGCCTTCCATGCCTAATGAGAGAGCTAAAACTAAGGTCTGACTATCAATTAAAAATCACCCAAGTCCTGTTAATTTGTTAGCCACACTCTGTCCCTCCCACTCCATGTATTCCTCTCGTTTGTTTGAGGTGGTGGGTCTGTTGGACTATGAGCTTTTAAAGGAATTCACTATGTGACTGAGCAGATCATAATATGACAAGGCTTCAGATTTTCTGTGTCTTCCAGGTTTCACTTCCACCAAGCTATAAGTCTCCATGACATAAGTTAGTGCCCAACCTTATAGTCCAATAAATCTACCTTTTGGAAATGACTTTGCACCTGTTCTTACTCCATGAGGACTGATCCTGGTCCCCCCTCATTCCCACGAGTCACTTGGCAGGAAAGTATTCTGCTCTCAAGGGCTTCCATCAGAAGTGACTGTGCCAAATTGGGGTATTGCCTATTTAAATGATAAATTAATCCTGGCAGAAATTGCCTGCCCATACACAGCTTCTATCACAGCAGAATCTTCTGCTTCATTCTCTCCTCCAGGATTCTGCTCTGCTGCTTATAACAAAGGCTCCACATTCAACAACTGGGGCTTTACTGTATGTGGTTTTTATTCTTATTTAATCATTTGCATTCTCATTTTTCTTGAGGGTTACTGCATTTCTTTATCATTCTGACAGTTCTATCAGACCTTTCTTTTCCTCCACTCTCTGTTCAAGGTGTGGCGAGTTGATTAAGGTGTTCTGTGGGGAATTTAAATAAGTTTAGCTGCTCCAGAAGAATTAAACGTAAAATATAAATTCCCACATAAACAGTCAAAGTGATAAGAATTGTTTAATGGAGCTAGCAGTTATATTGATCTCTACTTTCTTTAAAGCAGGGACTTAGAGTTCAATCGGATCTCCAGATGTTTCCACCATTATTTACTTTGCCAAAAAAAGAGAGAGGATTAATATCAAGAAGAAAGCAACAAGGGCTTTGCTTCACAAGATAAATAAAAATCAATTTTTGTTTGTTAACAAACTTGTTTAATGTTGCAAGGTAACAAATCCTGGACACACTTGAGGATAGTGTTTACAAGACATACAGTGATAGTCTTTTTAAAACAATTAAAATAATTTTCTGTGAACTGTGAAGTCTTTTGAGATAATTGCCCTGTGCAGATAATTACAATGTTAAATTATTTTCATTAGTTTTTGCTAGACAGGGGGTTTTTTTTCTCTCTTTCTCTCCTTTGATAGTATAAGCAATTTCCAGGTATTTTAGGAGCTGGCTCAGGAGAAGGGTGGGTTGTCTGCAGAATGGGGAGCAAACTATGTAAAATCATTGTGGCTGGTTCATTAGTCCAGTAACAGAATAAGCGGAAGCAAAAGCCTGTGATGGTTTACAGGCTGAACGAAATGGTGGTGACAGTCCATTTCCTACTGAATAGTGATTCCTGTCTCTGAAACCACCACTCCGTTAGGACACCATGGCTGATCACCTCCACAGGTGGGAAGTTCAGAACATTATGAGAATGAGTTACGAATTTTGAGGCAGCCATTTGGCCAGTGTGAGTCAATGTTCTCTAGCAGGACTCCTATACTCATCCGCTTTGCCAGTTTTTTTCTCCTTTTCCTTATGATTAAAAATGGAGTAAAAAGTAAAGAGGTAAACGTAAAGTAGTGCCACCATTAAAATCACTCTGAACACCATCACCATTATATATTTGTGTCAGTAAAGTACACAGCAGTCTCTAGCACACACCAGAACTTCATTTCGTTGAGTATCACTACTGCACTAACAGTTAATTTCAATGTTTTCATCTCGGCATCTATGTTTCAACTTTAAAAACCGACTAATAATTAACTTATAAACAGCAGATTAAAATCAAAGTATTTATCAGAAATTTTTACAAAATCCACAGTCCAGAGGTCTACAAAAGTGCAGTTCATACTTCACCCATTCAGTGGATGTAAAAGTGTTTTCCTGCAAATCCAGCAGTCCTTCATGTATCACGTCACATTCTGCAGGTCTTCCAGAGCTGAATTGCTCTGTATAACTCTGCTCAGAAGGTACATTATCTATATGATAAGTGGTAGCAGAGAGAGTATATTTTCCATGTTAATTCCCTTGAATAAGACACTAATAGGTGCATTTTTCAAGTATAAAAATGATAGACAATACTATAAGCGGCAGCTAAATAGGTAAAATAAATTAACGTAAAATAAATAGGGTCTTTCTATGATGTTAAACTCCTTACTTAACTGCAATTTGGTTTTATGCCCACAGTTCTAACCTCATCAGTGTAAGGAGAATATAATTTTATTCTGGAGGGGTTAGTGTAAAACATAATTTTACTTTTTAAATTTATATACAGAGCAATCTAGGACAAGGTTTCTGTTCAGCTCAGTTCAAGCCCAAGTGGTACTTGATTGATTTAGCTTGAAATCTCAAACAAACCCAGCAGAAAAGTGAAAGCTTGCCTACAGTTGAAAATAGCATGGATTAAGGTGAGTGTGAATTTAAAGCATTCTTTTTGTTATACAGGGCCATATTTGAGTGTTTCTACTACAGAATACACGTACCTTTTTTATCTCTTCTGCTAAATGTAATCTATTTTGAAAATTAAGTTTATCAACCATGAGGTACTGTTCATCTGGAAGAAAAGTTTCTGCATGTGGAATGAACCATTAATTTTCATGAGAGATGAATCCCTCTGCAAAAAGCCCTAAAAAATGGGTCACAGCAGAAGTTTGGATCCAAACTCTTCCATGCTTTTTGAGAGTTTATACCTCAACCTAAATTGTGCAGCTGGCTTCAGTGCCTCAGCAGAGGGATGACATGAATTCCAAGACTTGAGCACACCTGAACATACATTATCTACATATCTACATTCCAGGGAAAAGCTAGTGCTAATATCACAACTCGAGTCCCTCAAGTTCCAATGTAGAGTCTAATTACACTAACTACTTGGAATATTTCATTGAACCTAGAACTCAAAAGGAACTGAGACCTCAAAATGAAACAGCTCATACAAAATTTTGCACCACAGAATCATATAATTAAATATCAAGCTGTACCTAGGCTGTCTTCCTCTGATAATTTTATAATTACAGGTTATTTTGATGCTAAAAGATGAACAACTAGGTCTTTTTCTTTTCACAGCATCAGGATAGCCTCATTCATTCTTCTAAAAAGCATGCATTTTAATAAATATCATACACATAGAAAAAAAACTGCCTAGAAAATTCAATTAAGATTCAACTGTCCATGTTGTCAGTTTTGTTTGCTTGTTTTAATACAATCTCAGAGCAGTAACTTTCAAGGTGCAGTTGAAGAAATGCATCCACTTTCATATCACGTCTCGAGCTGGCTTTACATCTTCAGTCTTAGGGAACTGTGGCAAAATCCTAAGGCCAAACTTTATCTTGAACATACATTCCCTTTGTTCTATGTATGAACACAGAATAAAGACATACCTACTTCTTTGCTTGCACTGTGCAGAGCATAACAATTCCCATTTATGATTGGGACCTGCTTGGTACTACCATAACATTAGCTGTTATTTATAGCAATCTGTCTATGACATTGTAAAAACTTACCTTCCTTTTATCATCAAGAGACACTGCTTCCAGCTCATAATCTTGTCGCCCATGAAACACAATGCTGAAGCGCCTCCTTTCAGTATCTTCACAGGCTTTGACTTGTGAGAAAGGGAACTGTTTCTTAATAATTCCTTTTTCAATGTTAAAAATGGTCTTTGTGTTGAAATCAATCTGGAAGAGAAAGTTTTTCATTACTTAACTCCATCGCTTCTCTTCATTGAAAGGGAAAGGCAGCATCCCCAATATTACCATGCAAGGGCATTTAGATGAAGGACTAGCTTAGAATATGTATCTATCTTGCCAATGAATAGAATAAAAAATGACATTGCATCATCAAGATACTGTACTATATTTGTTTTACTTACAAAACAAACAAATATTCATTGTAACTCTTTTTCCCTATCTCTTTTGAAGAATATACATCAATTTATCATTCTGAAATATTATTTCTTTTTGAATTCTACTTGTTTTATACAACCCAGTGCAAAAACTTCCCATTCAGCAGTAGTGGCAGCATGAACTAATGGCATGACCATCTCAGCAAAGATTCAATTACTAACTGCTTCAACCTATGCCCCAGTACTAAAATGAAGTGAACAGGGTTATTTTTATAACAGCTGGTTCTGTGGCAGGAAAAGAGGATACTATTGAGAGGTTATTTTCTGATATAAATATTACTGTGTTTTTGTTTTAGATCTTATCTCACACATATTTTTTTTGTCTGTGTATATATATACACATGTGTATATACAGGCGAAGAGAGCGATGACAATAGCCAATAAAGTGATTTTATTGCTGTTTCACAGCTATCACAATTAGAAATTGTTTGCTGCAAAATAAAATTACTCTTCTTCCACTGCACAACCTATATTTGCAGTGTTAAAAACTGGTACAGACAGATTCCAGTATCTATTCTATGTGTCAGTCCCTGTTGAGCAGAAACAGCTTTGTTGATACAGTAAGATGTGAATATTATCTGACTGCCCAGCTCCAGTGAACGTGGCCCACAGAGAAGACAAATTCAGAATAGTCTCAGCTTTCACCTGAGTTAGATATTTACCTTTAGTCATCAATGATTCTTGGCATCTTTCATTCCTATAGAGCAGACCACATCAACCAAATGTTAACACCGTGGCCTTTCCCCCCTGTTCTGTTTGTAGCAGGAAATCTCCAAAGCAGAACCATTCTCATTATTATCTCTGACTTTTGAAGGCTGTTGGTATCTAGAGAACCGGAATTAAACTACTGCAGATTCCCAGACGGATAAATTCCACATCTAATAGAGCTTTCTCCATTTTTCCATCAGCTTTATGTCTGAATAAATAATCTTTCAGTTCATAAAACTATTGCATATGCAGTGAAATAAGGAGATTATACTTTCTACAGTTACAATGTAGTAATCAAAAAACCATCCTCTAACATGTATGATTTGGATTTGTTTATTATCAAATTTTGTCCAAACTGCAGGAAAAATGCAGTGAAATCCAGGTTCCTTGAAACAACATGAAACCTTTGTCACTGACTTCATGGAATCAGGAAACCTCCATCAGGTGTTATCAACAGAAGTTTGCTTTAATATTGTGCAAGTCAATAAAACCTTAAGAGTTCATAGGGTCAAAGAAAGAATTCCCAGGGTAACCAGAGATGAAATGCACAGTCTGCCAAATGAACCTTCTGAGTATCTCCAGGAACATTTAATCTCAAGATTTTAGAGAGTGCAGTTGAAGCGATGTCCTGTCAAAAGGGACAGGTATTTAAGTATGTCTGCATCACTTGTATGTGTAATAAGAAAAACTCCCAGGCAGAACTTATTATAATCAATCATCTTTGTGATGAACCATGTTTTTTAGAGGTGAAATAACCTCTTAGATCATCAAGTCCATTCTACAGCCCTCCCAAAGACTCAGTAGAGGGAGTTTCAGATATTATCTCCAGAATACTTTTGGTGTAAAATATCGGAAGTTTGTTCAATATCTTATACTTTTCTGATAGGTTGCTGAACCACAAGATATTTTAGGCTCTTTTATAATGTTTACCAAGCAACTTAAGCATCCCATATTTTTATATGTTCCTTCAAAAGTGAGAATTTTTAAAGTTACCTGCAAAATTCGTTTCTGCCACCGATAGTGTTTGTATTTGTAGATAATGAAGTTAAATTGTGAGCCAGTTAGCAAATCCTGTGAATCCTGAAAAACAACAGAAATCTTCAATATGTCCAACACTCCGCTAATTTTTGTCCACTCAGATCCAATTGTGTTCCCAGGTGAAATCTCCGTGAGGGAACAGTGTCCAAACAGCACTGGAGGCTTTGCAGAAGAAATCCACATGGAGATACATGGAAGAACCCTCCAGACCTGAT